ATATTTGTAAGACGCTTATGCAGTCGTTTTCAGTGAACTGCAAGCTTTAAATTGATATAGCATAAGCGCCATTTTGTGATACTTTTCTGTCATGAAAATTATGTCAGACTTTAAAGAATTCAAAATGAGTTGCTTTTGTTACAACTATCAGTCAGCCATTTTGTATAAAACATATTAAAGCACGTACGGAACCGTAATCTTCAAATCGATAACACAACCCTTAATAATTTCCCGTCATAAAATCACTTCCATTTTCGGAAGCCGACACGTCACGTGCGCCACCGCGACATGAGAGTAATTCGACTCGGTTCGCGCAACGCAGAGAATGAAAAATATGGTTCAATAGTTCGGTCTCACCCTCGAAATCGTTATAAATTATAAAGGTACTCCAGCTACATGGGGTTGTACCCGACGATCGGTTCTCGTAGTTGAGCGCTTTTAATTCTACGCTCGTGCAACAGCCTACAAGATCACTCGTAAACGAGTTCTCGTGTAAAAATACGCGAGGGAGTCGTAACGCGACGTTTAATTAAAGTACGAACCACTCGGTGACTTTCGATCCAATAACCGGGGCCGGCCGGATATTCCTCCGATCAGAAACGTAATAACCGCCGTTAATTCTGCCGCTGAATTCGCGCTCCACTAACTCGAGAAACGCGTTTATACTTTCAAGTTCATTTATTTTATCTATAACCAAGGAATTCCGAGATTTATCGTCTTCCACGTTTACGATTCGTCGATCGAAGTTAATGTATAGCAATTCTTTATTTTGTCAAGCTGCTGATGTTAAAACAGAGGAGTTAGAGATTTTATTACGTGTTTAAATGTGTATAAGATTAAGATTATTTACGGAGGTGTTCGACAGTGTTCGATTATAAAATTTAATTGGATCAGTTATAAAATGTATGTTTTTAAAGACAGACATTTCGTAACAAAAAAATTATGGAACGCAAGATGATGACCACATTTATGGAACAAATAATTAGAATCATTTAGCACGTACGCTTAATAGCGAAGTAACAAGAAAATATCAATTTCTGTTTGTATAATTTGAACAAATTGTGGCTGATTAATAATAAGGACATCAAGTGTGATTTTCAATTAATAATTTGCCTATGAATATTCCATGCAACACTTGATTTATTTAAGAGCTTAAAGAGTCCGATACTCTATAATGAACATCTTATGCAAACATCTTTGCACATTAGTAAAAATAATTATGTTCAAATATATATATATTAAATGACTATGTTTAAATGCTACATAAAATGGCTATACTGACAAACTCCATGTTTGTGTATCACATCTATGTGTATGTTAAATGAGTATGTTTAAATGTGTCCATTAAAAGGCTATAATTGTCTATGTGTACATTAAAAGACTACGTTTAAATGTGTACACTAAATGGTTATGTTTGTGTATCAGGTTTAATGGGATAATTCACCAGAAAACAGGAACGAAACAGATATTTTCGTCAGGGTTTGTTCTCGCTCGAAGTCCACAGAAGCAAAGTATCTGAGGTTGGCAAAATTCCGTCGAGGTTTTTACAGCTTTCATCCCTTTAATTTCACGCATCAAAGAATCCTCGTTACCCTCCGTGTCTCCTTCCTCTTTTCAAGCCCGTTTCTCGCCCCCCGCCGATTCCTACCATTGAAACTCGCGACAGAGGAAGACCTACGATGAATGTCGCGTTGCGAGCGCGATGAAAGAAAGGGTTGAACAGGAAGAAAAAAGAAAGAATAATACGGGAAAGTGCACCCCTATCGTCTGCGCGACAACCGATAAAAACTCTCGGCCGATGTTGTGCACACGCTCGAATCGCGAATCCCGGTGTCTGAGTGCGTACGAAAATCACCGCATCCCTTAAAAGCGTGAATACCGGGACTCTTTGTTCGTTTCGGTCTCTCTCTCTCGTGTACAGTTCGTACGGTCTTTATACGAGAGATTTTACGGTTATCGTCTTGTCGCTAATCTCTTACCGAACGACGATGAATACGGGAGGCAAATGGTGGGTGCAGTTAGGTCGAGGTAATAAGTAAAGTGCACCGGTGCCGTATTCGCACAATACGTTCGCGAATTAGCGGTCTGGAAAGGCAAGCGGTTCGTGGTGGACGTCTGTGAACTGACGAGATACGCGTTTTGGTGTGCACTTTACGGTAACGATTGTCTTTTACGCGGGAAACTCTGTTGGGAACTTTTTGTTCCACATTCGGAAAATTGGGATTTGGAACGTTGCGATTTGGAACTTTGGGAATTTGGGAACTTGGGAATTTGGAAATTTTGAAATCTGGGCGCGTGGAATTACGGCGCTTGGAATTACAATGCGTAGAAATTCGGCGCGTGGAGTTACGACGCGTGAAATTACAACGCGTGGAAATTCGGCGCGTAAAATTACAACGCGTGGGAATTCGGTGCGTGGAGATTCGGCGCGTGGAGTTTCGACGCGTGGAGTTTCGACGCGTGGAAATTCGGCGCGTGAAATTACAAAGCGTGGGAATTCCGTGCGTGGAGATTCGGCGCGTGAAGTTACGACGCGTGGAAATTCGGCGCGTGAGATTACAACGCGTGGAAATTTGGCGCGTGAAATTACAACGCATGGGAATTCGGTGCGTGGAGATTCGACGCGTGGAGTTACGGCGCGTGGAGATTCGACGCGTGGAAATTCGGGGCGTGGAGTTACGCCGCATGGAATTACAGCGTTGGAATTTGAAAGCTTGAAAATTTGGGAGTAAATCTATAAAAAAAACCCCATTCCCCAACCTCCTGCAAACCAAGCCAACAGAGCGCCCTTACACACAAGACGCACCCCGTGCGTCGTCAGCATTATGTACCGAACATTCTCATACATACGCTCCGTATAAGATGCCTCGTAAGGCGTATATATATTAGACGCACCGTATGCGTCCCAAAGATTCCTACAAGATGCGTCGTCAGGCGTATGCATATGAGAGTAGTAAGATGCGTATATGTCGACCACGTTAAGGCACGCTTCGTGTAAGCTGTTTATGCGCTCGCACCGCGAACGTATCGAACTGAACCGTATTTCAGCGCTCGTTTGTTGCCACTCGTCGACCGGAAAATTGTCAGCTAGCACGTATCCGGCCACAGCGTAGGAACATCGATCGATCAAACTTCCCCAGGGGGCCAGTCGTAGCCTCTTATATCTCGGGAGAGCGTGTTGGATTTTCATCGATTCACGGGACAATCTTGCACGCGAACCTGCCTGCTCGCGTACAGGCGGATTCATAATCACATGGCAACGCGTCGGCTAATGAATGTACGCGATAAAACAAACAGTATATGTTATTCGAACACGCATTGTTCCCACTGCTATTCCTGTATTAAAACATAGGCTAAAGGGCATGCAGGAATATAAGCGTCCACTGGAGTCTACGGATTTTTTAAACCAGGAATTCACAACTTTGGAATTTTAGAATCTACGACGTTGCAATCTAGAGAATTTGTGGATCTGGGAAATTTTTAGATACAGGGATTCTGAAATCTAGGGAATCTGCAGAACTAGGGATCTAGGGAATTCAGGGGTCTAACGATTTGGTAATTTAGGGATATTTGCATCTAGGGAATTTTTGGATTTGGGAATCTAGGGAATTTTGGGGGTTAGAAATTTTGGAACCTAGAGAATTTCCATCTGGGGAATTTTTGGATCAGGGATTTTGGAACCTAGGGAATTTCAGTCTGGGAAATTTTCGGCTCTAGGGATTTTGGGACCTAGGGGATTTTTCATATAGGGATTCGGGAATCTGGAGAATTTTGGATCTAGTGATTTGGAGATCTAAAGAATTTTCCATCTAGGGATTCGGGAATTTTTGAATCTATGGATTTGGGGATCTAGGGAATTCTCCATCTAGCGAATTTTTCTACCTAGTTCGAGAATTTTTTAATCTAGCAATTCAGTAATCAATTTAGTAATAATCTTATAGATCAAGGGGTTCGAGAATCTAGGGTATTTATGGATCTAGGAATTTATGAATCTCAATATGTATGAATCTAGCTGTTTGGTGACATAGGTATTTCCTAAGTTTCTTATAGTTTTATACTTCTTTTAATACCCAACATGAGATTATTAGTTGGAGAGCAGGCTACACTGCAGTTCCCCAAAAAAATGAAAAAAGTTTGGTAATTAGTGGTTGAGAAATAGAAGGAATGTTTTAAAACGTTTAACGGTAATATCGCACATTGAAATCCAGGTTACATCGTAAATTGCGATCCGTGTGTAACACCGTACCACCACGTGACAATCCTGGCCACGCCTTGATCATGTTTATCTTTCAAGTTTCTATCGCGTGGCTAACGTGCATCGCCAATGCTTCCGGTGATTGCTTTACGGAAGACAGGTATGCGTAACTAGCTAGCTGAGCAATTAAATTTTACGTGAATCGAGCGGCCACGCGAGACACGTTTTACTACCGTGAACAGGTGTGCTCGTATCTCGTGATTACTATTAGTACTGTGGGGTTACCACCACCACCAACGATGCTAGTATTAAAACCACCGGGAGAGGAGCATGATGCTGTAATTTAACCGGCTTACTACTTGATAAAAGTATCTCGAACGCTCTCGATAAGCTGATAACAATGACCGATAAAATAAAAGAGCGATTACCTCATAGAACGAGTGGTACTTATTGTCCGATCACAAGGAATCATCTATGATTTGTTTACCCTATTTCATTTTTATTGTGAACAGACGATGTCTTATTTCGTTCGTTTCATTGTCGTGTAACGATTACTTCAGGTTTTTACTGCTGTATCTTCGCAAGAAATAGTTCGAAGTATCGACAAGTAGGGCAGTTTTAGTCCACTATTTACTTTTTTGCACATATTTTTCTATTATTTCTTTGTTGTCTTATCTCCCCTAAAGCTATTTCAGTACTGATCGATGATATCAGTTTCTTTACACGAAACACGTGGCGGAGAAATCGATATAAGTACAAGTACGTATATTGTTCGATACCTTCGGTTACGATACCTTCATATCGAAAAAGACGTTCCTGAATGACGCCAATGCACGAAAAATTAAAATCGGTAAAATGAAAGATGCTTCAATAAACTTCTCAAATTGACAGTTGTATAGAAAAGCGATCACTTATCAATAAATTGCTCCATTCTCTGTGAGGTTATGTTCGAAAATGGAAGCAATTACCAAAACAGAAATCGATTTACCCATATATATCTAAAAATATAGAAGTTCTTTCTAATAAAAGAAAGAACAACATCAAGTAGATTATAATTAACAATACTTTTGATATCAAGCACGTATCGCTTCGATCTAATAATAAGTGAAAGTATCGATATCTTAATAATACGTAAGGATTCGACTGTAGTAATCGATTACGCATTGGACAGATAGCGTCAGTGAGTGATGCATGCCGGTATGAAACAGATTAATCTCGACGGCGTTAATCTCGTGCAATTAGAACGTGTTTGTTCTGATTTCAGAATTAACGAAGCAGTTGGTCAGAATATTCTAGCGGTACTCGTGTCATAGTTCACGAGTACGCACGTTCCCGGTAGGAGAAAGGAGCGTTACAAACGGTGTATTACATCGGCGAGTAAGCTTGGTTCCCCCAAGTTCATTGTAACTTTGGTCGTGTCGTGCATCACCTCCTATCAACGCCACACCTCCCTACGCATCGGCCGTGAGTACACTTCCTTGCCCCGGTTAACGCGGTGCACGGTTTGTAGTAATAATCCTAAATACACGTTGGAATCTATACTTAGTCGATCTACGCGTACATAACCGAGCCCCGTAACACGAAACTATCGCTTTCGTCAATTCTTCACAAGCCTGTCAGCCTTCGGAATTTTGGCACTTTTAAAATTCGGAACTTTGCAGTTATGGAATTTTATAACTTCCCGATTTTATGCCAGGAATATGTATTTAATCTGAAACTTCGTTTCTTTCAATGTTCCATTAAAAAATATCAATAATTTTGTAGGAAAAGTACTGAGGAATGTCCAGAAATGCACAATGGAAGCTGTCATCGATTACCGGTAACTAGAAGCACAACCGAGCTGATCTTTCGAAAAAGCTGGCATCTCCGTGACAAAGTGCATAATTGACCTAATTGCTGGTAACGAACGTCCATGAGACACAATGACGAAATCTCGATTCCACGTAAACTGGAATATAAATTGATTTGAAAAGTGGAATACCGGTATGACTAATTTTTTAACGAATTGTATTAGACGCGTGTCAACTTTGGAAAATGGTTAAACGATTATTTAATAAATTGGTAGAAGTATCCTTCGTTTAATTTAATTTGTAAGGTGAGAGCGATACGTGTATGGCGAAGTTCTATCCTCAGGGTCATATATGAAAGTGGAAATGAAGCGACTGCGGAAAGAAATTGTAGTCGATATGTTGTTATTCCGGATTTATCAATTGTTTTACTCCCACTGGCAACAGAATTTTTATATGACAATTGTTTTCAACGGATTCTGCGCATCTCGTACCACAGGACAGAACGATAACTTTTTTCCTCTAACGAAATATGATACATGGTGTGCGAAGAATGCACTTGCGAGTTTGATCTCTCGATTGTATTGATCCTATTTGTCTGAATTTCAAATGTAATATTACCTGTCAACAGTATCGACCAAATATCAAACAATTCAATTGCTTAATTTTGTATCAGATTTACACAGCGCATTGTCACGTTAACGGCGTCACGTACATATAGGCATGCAACTATAGAAATATTCTGCAAGGATTTAACAGATATATTTTTTGCGAACCGGGCCAATTAACTGTTTCCGTGTATCTGCTAATTCAAGTATCATTCAGGAAATATGAATTTTGTACAACGCATTCACGTTCGATCGCAAAATATGTTTTGACTAATATATGCAGCTGTGAAAAAACTATCACAGTTTACCATAAATTCTATGTAACATCGTTGTAGGTTATGTAAACCGTACACGATCATTTACAAGACAGAATATTTTATTTCAGACTAAAAATAAAGACTGCATACAACAAAACAACACGAATCAATCTACCAATTTTCTGTGTGTATTCGAACAACGCTAAACTGTCATATTTACAAACGACTATCAGCATCTATTTCCACAAGTCACAAACAGAAAATGTGCAAATATACTTTCATCTGGTATTAAAGAATTGTTTTTAAAAACAGTTCGTTTAATTTCTGTTACACCGTGTTAGGAAGGTAATAAAGCGAAATCACAAAACTAGTAAACTTACCTTGTCGGATATAGACGCGGTCTTCCCTTAAATATACGGTACACCACAATGAGTAAATCGTGGATAAAAATGTAAATAGGGGAAAAATGCACAAAGCTGAAGCACTAATTGTGTTTTTCTCGAGTAACTAACAGAGTACTTCCTACCGTAAGCACATAAACAACTCTTGTTCCAATTCCACCGACCGCTACGAATACGAAACAGGTCCGTCGAATCGCGGGGCGACGCTGGAGATACAGCCACGGCCCATACTCGCACCATTTTCAAATAGTCCCTTAACGCATACAATTATTAACGATTACGTACCTTAATATTCCCAAATTCCTTGCTGGACGCTTAATTACGATTCATGGAATATCCAACTCGATCGGAGAATCTTTATGGCGGTGATGCACCATTTAAAAGAAACTGTAGCACTGTGGTTACGGGACTGCTTTCGATGTTCTTCCGCGCGAGTCAATATGGCTGACTACCTAGGAAAATCAGTTTCTCTTATGACGCAATCAAGCGAGTACGCCCTGCTTAAACACATTTTTACCACTAGATAGCAGCAGCTTGGCTGCGAATTTAGCAGTCGATAAAATGGCATTCTATAAAATTAATTCTCATGTTCACCGTTTTGTAGAGGCACCGACTAGATGGGGCACGACAAAACCCTTATATTTTGCACAATCGGTATTTCAGTATTGCCTGAAATTCCGTAAGATGGTAAGTCCCCATACCATTTTAGTGTCCTACCATATCGATCAGGACTGGTTTTGTATCGCAGCGCCTTTAACGGTCGAAATTAAAATAAAAAATAGTGATGGTATATTTGTCAAATATGCTTTTTGAAAAAATAAGTAGAATAGATTAAATAGTGTGTAACATAATACTGCGAGGGAGTTAAAAATACGTAATAATACATGTAGGAACACATCGCTGCGAGACCTATCGATTGATGTATCGATCTGTCACCTCACGGCGTGGCATCCTCTCTGCTGTCAACCTTCCTGTTAACGGAAGCGGGAGTTGTGTATTAAAATAATAGCCACAGAGATTTTGAGAGGCGAATAAAGAAGACGATTTGTGAAATCAGAAATTGTATTTCAGTGGATCGATACAATAGAAAGATAACGGACGAAGGACGCAATTAGAAATCGAAATATATTCAGCACACGTTACAGTACGCCGAGATCTACGTTGATCAATTACAGCGAAATCAAGTGTATCCCATAAAAATTTCATTTACACGCATTCGAAAGTAAGTCGATAAAAAGAAAAGACGTTTCTCCTTCTCATCACACATCGTTCATTATCCTGCGTCGCTTCAGCGATCGAAAAATCGAGAAACCATAAAAAGAAAGGAAATGACATAATGCACCGTTTTACAATATACAATGCGATCTGTGTGTGGTTCGGTGAATGCAAGTCAAGAAGAAAAGTTTTACAAATAGGATATTAACGCTATATAATTATCATGAAAGTCGATCAACAGCGAAGAGCAAAAGTTTCCTTCCCGACAGATTCGATCCCTTCGATTCTCGAAACGCGACCCCTCGCCATTTGTTAATTCTTCCGATTCCCTTCGGTTTATAACCTACACATTTCTCGATTCTTCCTGATTTCGTTGGTACGAAAGATCGCGTTTCTTGGGAATCTGTCGGGAACTTGTGTTCTATATCTAAATACTCGAGTGCGTTCGAATTTCTCGATGTAACACGGAGTCGCGTACTATTGTTATTTTTTATGTGTGAAGTGCAGCGTTTGCTTTTTAATTCACTGTAAACTTTGGAACTTAGAAATTTGGGGGTTTGGAAATTGGAGGATTTGGAAATTTGGGGAATGGGAAATTGAGGAACGTAGAAATTGGGGAACGTGGAAATTGGGGAACGCAAAAATTGGGGAACGTGGAAATTAGGGAACGTGGAAATTAAGAAACGTAGAAATTGGGGAACGTGGAAATTGGGGCACTTGGAAATTTGACAGCTTGAAAATTTAGAGGCCCAGAAACTCAGACTCGGAATTTGGTAATTTTGAAACCTGGTAAGTTAACAACTTAGAAATTTTTAAAATCGAGAATTTACACTGGCAAAAATATCCCTTTAGAAGTACTCTTTGATTCTGCGTGCTCACACGAGAAATTCTTACGCACTTGCTATTAGTGCAATGCGATCGTTAATGTATGTACAATCTCAGCGTGCGTTTATCCCGAACGATTGAACCTTACTGAAATTCTTTATTTCTTTTTTATCAAAGATGCGATCGTTCAGTATAAACGAACCCTCACTTAATTGCCGACCAAATCGACGGTTCGTTCGTGAGAACCCACTCTTTTTCCATCAATGTTTTTCAAGGTCTCACGAATCAGGACCTCGCGTTTCTACGAAGCTACTGCAACTCGATATTCGCGTTCTAGACGGAAGTCTAAAAATCACCGCCAGACTGATCGAGTACCGATCGATACATCGATCCAAAAATGATTACCCACAGCGACTCTGTTCGCTAGCTAGCAATTAAAAAAATTCATTTAAACGACGATTATTTACAGACATTCATGTGTTCCGGATTCGTTCGACTCTCGAACGTTCCTTCGCTCTTTTTTTTTCATTATTTTTTTTTGTCATTTTATCCTTATATATAAATATATTCATCATTTTCCATTTTCTCTTTTTTTTTTGCTTCGACAGAAGATCGGCTTCCGGGGTTTCCCTAATTTCATACCAAAGGGCCAGATACTTCGAATCGAGAGAATTCTTCGTTTCTCTGTTTCTTCTTCCTCGTCTCCTCTTTTTTTCCTTCGAAATTTTCTTCGACATTTTTCAATTAAGTGTAAAAATAGATACTTTGTCGCCTCCCAATATATTTCTTTTTTCGTCTCGTATTTTTTTCCGCTTCTCTTTTTCGTCTAAAACCGAGATACGGTGTCCAGAAAATGCTCTAAGAACATCAAAATCGCTTCTTTTACGCGTTCTATCCATCGAAAGGGATTTGTCGAAAGGTTTTATCGTGCTCGATTGAATCTCGCAGATCTCGAATCACAAATCGTGGAACGACTTGCAAATTCTTATGGAATTACACAAGTTTTTCATCTCGTTTGAGTTCGTATGTACAATCTGGTGAACCATAGAACATTCGCTGAACACGAAAGGAGGGTCAACTAGCAAGTGATCATTTCGCACTGTTTTAGGTAGAAACGCGAGCATTTCTCTTATATGTACATCGTGTATCGAGCTGGTATTAAGACCTTCAAAAATTATTCTGATCATTAAAGTGAAAATTTTAATATTCTATTTTGACAGCAAATTTTGTGTGGATACTTCAAAATTGCAATAGATAATTTTCATTTTGTATGCTGCATTATGTATTGGTATTTGTATATTGAAATTCTGTAGAATGTTTCGAATTTTCTAGATGTTTATATATTTTTGTTATTGTTGTTTTAGTTTGTTATGTACTGTGTGATGTACAGGTGCAATGCAAGTTTCCTTTAAATTATTATTTTATTTGAATTGTAATGTAGGGTTAGGTTAGGTTTGGTTAAATGTAAGGTTATTGAAGACAACCTGATTGAAAAATATTCAAGACGGTTATTAAACAGTAGAAACATTTTTATAAAATTAAAAAATTTTAGATAAAAAAGAGAATTTTTTTTTAAGTAGATTTTTAAAATTTTGAAAGGGAATCGAATTAACAACAAATCTTGAATATTTAAAATATTAAAAGACACTCAGTGCACCCTTAAAGGAACCATACATTGCACCTAAAAACACGTTGTAAATAATTAATTTGTAAAATAATTAACAAACCTAAAAATAGTGATCTAATCTTCGAATGTCACTACAGTATAAAGTAAACCACGAAAATGTGCAATTAAGAAATCAATTTATGAACTGAGAGTAAATTTCACAAACAGCAATTTCGTAGACAAAATAAATCGTAGAATAAATTCGCCAGCACGACGCTCGAGTTACCATTCTCGCACGGATCAAGAAACAAAGGAAATCTAGCAGTTCTAAGTTCGATTCTAGGATCTCATTTTTTCCCTCGATTTAATACTTTACAGTTCGTAATCCGCAACCTCTCTTTCGACCGTCTACATGAAAAAAGAACTGATAAGGATCGCTTCTTCGTATTATTTTTTTTTCTTGTTTAAATATCTAGTGTCATCTCTAAACGCTAAGTAGGCTAGTGAGGTGTCTACGCCTATGAATAGATCGATTATAATGCACACACGCAAGAAGTGGACCTAGAGTAACTACTACGACGCTTGTGGATTCGTCTTCATGTTTTTCTTTAGCTTTTTCTTCTTTATATCAACTAGATCATTTTATATTTATAATATGTACACGCGGGGCAGCTGTGAATCGGACGTACACTCGAGTCTCGCCACCCACCCCCACTCTCCGCCATTTTATACCGATTTTCCGCCATTTTGCGTTCAGAAATTCAAGAAATCAAATCATTCTTTTATACAATTTTTACGTGTTTATTTGAGATTGCAGAAATTGTTGTACTTAAAAATTATTTGGAAGGACACCTTTTTTAAAAATTTTCTTGCAATCTTAGCTGAAACTTTTAATGCTTGATTGTGAATTATTTAGGTTCCTTGTTAATTTTGACACACTCAACCCTAATTAGTCTCTCAAGAACAAACTAGAAGGGTCAAAATAGGGTGCAGTACATACAGAGTAGATAATACTCACAGAATTAAATATACTTCTTAATGGAATTAATTTTGAAAAATATGTACTACAATGTTCATTAATAATATTTTAAATTTAAACTAAATTAATGATATTATTTAAACCACCCCAATAAGTGTCTACATTATAGTAAAAAATTATTTATTATCCTCTCAACAAATTCTTCTTCCAGTCAACCCCTTCAATAATAAAAATTACAGTCAAGTTAAAATTAAAATCTTGACACAAAAAATTAGAATGTTCAATACTTCATTAAACTTTGATTCAACTTAGTGTAAAAATTAAAATGTTTCTTGAATTTCTGAAATTTCCATTTCATCAAGAACTCGAAATCCCCAATCGAATAAAATGATCTTCCACGCGACAACATGATGCGAATTATTTAAAATATACATTTAGCTGCTATTTTGCTGGTGCCTTAACTCTTGGAGGACACGAAACAATATTTCGATCTTAATGTTCATAGTATCACGTTAAAATGCGTTAACAATTAAATATTGCTCTTTCCATGACCATCGATATTGTTAATTAGTGGCAGTGCCATTTAATATTACACTTGTCCCTTTCCTCGACAACGAACGAGTTTGGGCTGTTACGCTTCTTTCCTTTTTTTTCGACGACAAACGATCGATGGAAAAGCAAGTAACAATGTCTATAAATGAGTACACATAAAAATTTCACAAAAGATCAAAAAGTGAGAAAAATTTCTGCACTCACTATGATTCGTGTGTAAATATGACAAACGACGAAGGTTAGGATTGAGGATGAACAAAAGCAACATTTATTTTTGAAAGGAAAAAGGAACAAAATACGTTGAAAACGACAGAAACAAACTAAGCATACATATCGTTACACGGTGTTGTTCATGGACAAGGTGTAGCTCGAAAAACGCGACATCAGCTATAATTTTGCTTTATTCGTTCTTCAAATTATTTTAATTTAAAAATTACAGAGATCATGTTTCGTTTATGGATTGTCATTAATGACAAAGAAACGAGAATATGCTTTGCGAACGTGTATAATATACGCCTACGATATAATTAAAAAAAAAAGAACGTGAAGAAAAAGTAGTTGAAGAAAGAAAGAAAGAAGAGAATAAATTGTAGAACTAAAATATAATCGCATAGCAAAATAAACGAAAAGGAGACAAAATTTTGGGAGGGCTGTGATGTAAATTGGTGATGGCGATGGTGGTGGTGGACGAGGTCGATCGTCATTTTAGGAAAGTAAAAATGTTCACTTCTATAAAAATTTTTCACCGACGTTTTAGTAATTATCACTTATCTGTATACGAATCTGCCCTTATCGTCATCCTTTTATATATTTATATATATATGTATATATATATATATCTATATAGATATATATAGATGTGTGTTATCGATATTTTAAAAATTTGCTTAATTGTTTACAAAAATAAAATAAGAGACGCGAGAATTCATCCTATCTATGAATGAAAAATAAAATTTCCTATCTAATCGCCGCTAAAGATGTTCGATCTTAAGGTCCCAACGAGAACCGAAAGAGGAAAAAAAAAACAGAAAAGAAGAAAAGTGAAAGTGGTTATCGAACCAATAAATCTTGCAGAATTGCCGGTGGCGATCGCTCGAGTTCAGAGAAACCAGAAATTTTGATTCTTCCGATGCGTAGCTCGTTGCTTCGAGATACAGAAAGGAAAGAAAAAAGACCAAAAATGAACGATTAGCCTTCGATAGCGATCGACGTACGCGACACTCGTCGTCGTCAAATTATTCTTGATCTTTCAAGAAACGGTCGGTGACGATAAAGTGTAATTTGCAAGAGCTGCACGTTCCTTGTTCGTGTCATTCACACACACGTCGTACTCTTTAATTAAAAGAATAGTCATACTAACTCTCTCTAACCCAACTCTCTCTCTCTCTCTTTCTCTCTCTCATACGCACACACACGCTCGAATCTATCTTTCCTGTTCTCTCGCTAACCCTCACACGCTCGTTCGCCCTCGCCGTTACTTTCGCTCGTAACTTTCAGACAGATTAACTAAACTCAGAATTATGTTTCGCTCAGTGGGATCGATCCGCTCGTGTTCTTCTACTCGAAGCTAATTAATTATCGGCTGTTCCTAGTCCTGATGGTCCGACGGTTGTTCGCGATCGATGCCGCTGTCGACGCGACGGGGCCGCGTCGGCGATGAACGCTACGGGGATCCTGTTCCCGCTTGTCGAGGGTAGGCAGCCCGTGAACGCACACGATGCTCTGTGAATGAGGATGACAGCGAAGCTGATGTTGAAGCACTAGGGTTGTTGTCGTCGTCGGTGGAGGAGGTGGCGGAGGTGGTGGAGGATGAGGGAGGGAGGTGAGCCACGTCACGCCTGGTTCCGCTCTGTGTCATTTGCCGTTCTGCTGCAGCGCCGCGTTGATCTGTGTCCACAGATCTTTGTTACAGGACTGAGATCTGAAAACAAAATTATTCCCAAAATTAATTACTTCAATTAACTTTATAGCTACCTTATTAGCTGCCAGAAGACCTACTCATACTCATAATCTAAGAGCACACAACTTAACCTAAAAGTTCAGTTTTCCACTTCCAATCATTAAAACAAACTGATACCTTTTAATAGACTGCAGCCAATCTTTGAATTGAGCATGGCCCTCCGGCGTAATGTGAAACGCCGCCTTCGCCGCACACACAATGTTCACAAAGTCCTCGTAATCGCCTGCTGTCAAGTGGTACAGCTTTTGATGCATGCACTGAATGTACCTATAACAAAATAGAGAATGAATATCTACCATCACGTACAGTACACAATTGAACGCGATAAGAGATCTACAATATACACTAACATTTGTTGGCATTTGTGTACAAGAGGTGCCAACGGAGCAGATCTCAAGTGTTGTAGCACGAGAGCTGGGTTGTTTCTGGCCAGATAGAGTGCCGCTTCCAGTGCAACGTCGTGGAGGACGAAGGGACTGATGATGCTGTTCACGGTGCAGATACAAAGCTGATGAAGATACTGGGTGCCCAGACGTTTCGAGACTCTCAGCAACCATTTCACGTCCTCGCCGTACGGCGGGTTTCGCGCATATTTCGCTTGAGGTCTATCGTCGTGTACCCGACGAGCTAATGTTTCCAACGCCAACATGCCAACACGATATGCCGCAACGAGGGATTGAAACTGTTGTTGGCTGACGGGCTGTGTTTGTCTGTGCACCTGGTGTTTAAAAAACGGGGCATTAGGTTGCGATTTGATAATTGTATTCGGTAGAGATTAATATATTCGTAATAAAAGCTACGCCGAGGGTAGGCAGCCCGTGAACGCACACGATGCTCTGTGAATGAGGATGACAGCGAAGCTGATGTTGAAGCACTAGGGTTGTTGTCGTCGTCGGTGGAGGAGGTGGCGGAGGTGGTGGAGGATGAGGGAGGGAGGTGAGCCACGTCACGCCTGGTTCCGCTCTGTGTCATTTGCCGTTCTGCTGCAGCGCCGCGTTGATCTGTGTCCACAGATCTTTGTTACAGGACTGAGATCTGAAAACAAAATTATTCCCAAAATTAATTACTTCAATTAACTTTATAGCTACCTTATTAGCTGCCAGAAGACCTACTCATACTCATAATCTAAGAGCACACAACTTAACCTAAAAGTTCAGTTTTCCACTTCCAATCATTAAAACAAACTGATACCTTTTAATAGACTGCAGCCAATCTTTGAATTGAGCATGGCCCTCCGGCGTAATGTGAAACGCCGCCTTCGCCGCACACACAATGTTCACAAAGTCCTCGTAATCGCCTGCTGTCAAGTGGTACAGCTTTTGATGCATGCACTGAATGTACCTATAACAAAATAGAGAATGAATATCTACCATCACGTACAGTACACAATTGAACGCGATAAGAGATCTACAATATACACTAACATTTGTTGGCATTTGTGTACAAGAGGTGCCAACGGAGCAGATCTCAAGTGTTGTAGCACGAGAGCTGGGTTGTTTCTGGCCAGATAGAGTGCCGCTTCCAGTGCAACGTCGTGGAGGACGAAGGGACTGATGATGCTGTTCACGGTGCAGATACAAAGCTGATGAAGATACTGGGTGCCCAGACGTTTCGAGACTCTCAGCAACCATTTCACGTCCTCGCCGTACGGCGGGTTTCGCGCATATTTCGCTTGAGGTCTATCGTCGTGTACCCGACGAGCTAATGTTTCCAACGCCAACATGCCAACACGATATGCCGCAACGAGGGATTGAAACTGTTGTTGGCTGACGGGCTGTGTTTGTCTGTGCACCTGGTGTTTAAAAAACGGGGCATTAGGTTGCGATTTGATAATTGTATTCGGTAGAGATTAATATATTCGTAATAAAAGCTACGCAGATTATACAGTTACCTGCGGCTGAGTTCTTACGGTGGATATTATAGGCTGTGTCTGAACCAGCGCGGATCCGGGCATATTGCTCTGACCAGGTATGGAACCGGTTACTCCCGCTTGCACCTAAAAATGATCATGTTACTCGCTCGAATGATGCGTACCGTGCAGCTGTAGCAAAATACCTACATTAACTGGCATAGGCTGTTGCATGGTGAACAAATGATGAGTTCCCGGTGGTGGTGGGGGTTGCGGTGTGTAGTATTGCGGCAGCGATGGTGGTTGCGTGGGTTGTGACGGATGGTGCGGATGTTGAGGATGCTGCGGATGAGCCGGATGAGGCGGATATGCCGCATGATACATTTGCATGTGCGGTAGTGCTGGTGGCACAGTTACCCTATGCGAAGGCATCGGTCCACCGAACGTGGGGATGGAGTGATGAGGATGCACGAAACTGTAGGGACCCACCGCGTACGGCATACCAACTCCTGCAACGAAATGTGTTGCGTTAAGAAGTTTTACAGCAATAATGATTCGATCTACCAATCACTGTTTTGTACTAGTATCGTTAACTATAACAGTGATAAGACAAATACCCAGTGGTGCCAGGGTAGTTATAGTTGGATGCGTGGGATACGGTTGAGGTGGCGGTTGAGTGCTGGTCACCACTACTGCTTGAGCTGGTCCAGGCATCATCTGACCATTTGACATGTCCATTGACGGCCCAGGCTCCACTAGAAGTACTCCATTGAGATCCAATTGTAAAGGATCATGTGGCATGTCATCCTGCTGTTCTCCACCAGGAGTGTGCTACGCATGCGAACATCGATCCATTTTATCAATAATCCATTTGTCAAATTTCATACTTAAGAACCTGACACAATTCACTCACCTTCAGATATAGTTCGTACCAATATTTAGCAACCTGGAAAAGCACTTCTGGGTATACACCACCACCTTTCGCGGTGTTCTCCACAGTGACGCAAGCTTTTTCCAACATAAGGTCACTCTGCTCCTTGCACTGCAACGAAACAGGATCGTTCACAATCCGGCCAATTCCGGCAACCGGCGTGTATCACGAGCGAGGAGAAAATTCCTACCTGCAAAATGGCTCTCTGAACTTCATTTGGATTGAGCGCGTGAGCGTGCGGTAAGCAAGACAAAGCGAGTTCAGCGGCCGCCCGAACCATGTTGGGGTCACTGCCCCTGGACGATTTATCGGCTATGCTGACAGCTTCCGGTGGCGTTAGATGCCCCTCCCAGCTTTCTATGAGAAACCAAATAGCCGGAGCCCCGATTTCCATCGCCTGGCCAGTGATCCACGACACGTGGCTCGAATAGGTGCGGCTCAGCCAATTCGGAGTGACACAGTTATGGAGTCCAAGGGCATACAGACCGAGCTGGAAGGCGCACATGTGCAAGGCTCTGTGTGGTCCATGGTGATTCTGGCTCGTGGATGCTTGAGTGAACAGCGAAGTGGAACTATTACCACCTGCTTTCGCTAGAACCGTCTTTGCTAACTCGCACATGAAATGTGCTCCTGCTTCTGATGGCTGATTGGGGATTGATGGATATACTCTTTTGCTTTTGTATCTGTAACGAGATAGTGCATCGTAGTTGTATTTTTTAATCACACCCGAGTTACAGACTTGAAGCCATTAGACAAACCTTGTTTCTTTAGTTCTAGTAGGCACAGGTGGCTGAACGATTTGCGGCTGCACCGTGAGTGCACCCATGCCAGTTTCCAGTTCCGCGCTGGTGCTGCTGTGAGGTCTGCTACTTGTGCCAACGATGCTGTCACCGTTTCCTGCCTCCGCTCCGGCGAGAGGAGAGGAGCACTCTTCGTCATGGAGGTATCTTGCCACCTGAGAGAGAAACAAATCATTATGCTGCATAACCTAACTAAACAAACGTGATCCATACCTCATTCTTAGTTGGAGGGTTAGAGGTATAGTAACTGCTCAAGATTGGCGATTTGATCAGTTGATGAACGTCTCGGTCCAACAACTTGTCCATTATCCTCGCCACCTTTGTTGGTTCATCCTTGTAGTGGACAAGCAATGTGAGAGCCAAGTCACCTCTGCAAAGATTACAGCATAAATATGAAATTATTCTACATCATTACATTGCGATAATAAAACCTACCTTTGACGTCGAGTGCCTTCGCAAAGAAGAGGATGATCAGCTTCGCTCACGTTCGCCTTCAAACCCAAGGCAGCAACGGCCGCGTCGAACCCAAGATTCTCGTCAATGTCTGAGGACAGTTGTTTTAGTCCTGCGAATCATTCCACAATCTTTTACTTTCCGCCTAAACTATTCAAACGTTAACACTTTCTTCTCTGAAAAAGGATATCCCTCAACCTAAACTCATCAATTATGCGACCGTACCGCATAGAACGTTTTTCTCGTCAAGTATTCAATTTCAGAAGAAATAATTTCAGGAAAAGAAGCATACTTGGTGCATTCAGGGCGTCGAATATGAAACTAGCCAGCATGATCGGGAGCAGCGCGTGACCTCTGGACCTGAGAACTCCATCCCTCAGTTGTTCCGCTCTCTGCCGAACCATCGCCAATTCCGCAGGACCGAGTGGAATTCGTTTCAGCAGGCCAACCAACTCGCTTTCCTGATGAGCTAATTTTACCTACAGCAGATATTAATTTGTAAAGCACTCGTTCATTTTCAAGTAGCATTTAATTAGAAGATAGTCTTTGAATCTACCTCCAATGGTTTAGTATTGGCAGGCGGTCTAGCCATTTCCAGGCCAAACAAACCGACCCTGAACGCCAGATTGTGGTACTCGGGGTTCTCTGCAAGGACCGTGCACAGGAAACAGCACTTAGCTAACGTGGCGGACGCAAGGCACGTGAGCTGATGAGACGCCGGGTTCACTTGTTGCTGAAATGTATCATATTCGTTACTTTGTGTCAACCTCATCTGCATATTTCTAGTTCTACTGAACCGATAAACTAATCTACCTTTTTCTTTTTGCCCTTGACGGGTGCCGGTGGCTCGTCGATCATGAGATTCGGTGGATTTGCTAGTAGCTCCTCACCCAACTGGACACCTAGTATGCAAGCTTCCCTCGTGTGCCCGTGAGCGTATAGTCCTTCCGCCCTGGCGAACAAAATGTCCCACGGGTCTTCCGTCTTCATCAGGTTACCCAAAACCATACTCGCGTTCGGCGCGGTGTTGGTCTGCGATTCATTCTTCGAGTCTTTGCTGGAGCTACCACTAGTGCCCGTGACTGCCTTCGGATCATAATAATATACGTGATACTCGTCGCCAGACGGACTGTCGCTGCTGGACGAGGAACTCTCGTCCTTGGAGGGTCTTCTGGAGGGATCCTTCTCTTGGTCGGACTCCTGCTCGCTCTTGGAACCGCAGGCGGCTTTGTTATTACTACTATCGCTACTATCACTATGGGTCTCGGACGAGGCGTTTGAGCGGTGCTTGTCCGAGTCTTGAGCGTTCTTCAGACTGACGTTGCTGTTGGAGGACGATTCGCTGCCACCACCCTCCTGTAACGCAAACGTTAATAAGAGTGCACAGAGTCAAACGAGTGGAACACGATGGATGGAGACGAACCTGCGAATCTGTGTCCCCACAATTGTTTAGTTGAGCACAAGAACGTCTAACGAGAACTACCTGAGGCTCGGGAATATCGGGCATATCGGTCTCGTTTTCGCAGAAACCTTCGGAACTGACGCTACTTCGGTTTCCGTCACCGCCACCGTTTCGGGACGACATTCCTGGACCCTTTCGAGGAATCTCTCGCCAACTGAACTCCGCCAGACCCAGACGTCTTCCGTGGTGGTGCGAGACGGGTGGCTGACAATTCAACACGGCTGCGCTCGAGTTCACCTGAGGCAAAGTAAGATTATTTAAAATCGTTCAGTACCAACGTGTCAAACTCTCAAAATTCTAACGTGATATAATTCTAATCTGATGTTGTATGACCATGCAGCTAACCTGGTTCACTTCGGTCCTCGTATCGCCGGCATGCCGAAAACAGGTGAACGGACAATGATACATGGGATTGCTTCCGGCGGTGTACGTGATACCAGGCAAGGTGTACTCTTCCCAATCCAGATAACACGCTTCGAGAGCGGACTTGAACCCAGTAAACACGGCCAGGTCGTTCTTTAACGAATCCTTATGGCCGCCGCTGTTGTTCCTGTTGTGTGAATTGTGCGTGACGGAGCTGCCTCGACTCTTCGTCACCTGAACGCAAAGAGTCATCCGTGAACTCACAGTTGTTACAAAATTAAAATCGATCTCACCTTATCGATGACCTTCATGTGCCAGGCAGTGAACTGGCCATGAAGCATCTCTCGTTCGGACGGCGATAGGCCAGGATTCAAAGCGGCCAGTCTCCAAAGGACGACGATCTCGTCGCACAAGGACGAGCAGGCATGCTGCGACGCGTGCACGTTGCTGTTCATATTGTGTTTGCCGCCGTAGCCGGTCCCGTTCAGTAACGCGACCTTCGTGTTGAACCACCAGACGAGGATCTGCTCGCAGGCCATGCATTCCTCGGTGATGATCTCCAGCAACGGGATGGCGTTACGATCGGTCCTCTTGAACATCTCGCGCACGATCGACAGCAGATTCCACATGCCTTCCGGTTCCCGTCCTCGCAACGGTCGTAACAACGAGGACCATTCCGCGGCCGCAGGAGGCGCAGTGGTGCTCAGGTAATTAACATCGCTGCAATAGAACAAGAATGAAATCTTGCGACACAGTAGGTTAGACATGTAGAACATTCGAAATACTTTCTGGGTTTTGTAATGATAATGAATGCTACACGATAGGAGAAGAAAGGTGTTTGACCTCGACAACTACTTTCAAGGTCAAACTTGTTTTTTGCCGTATCGTATAGTACTCGTCGCTAAGATGAAGAACCTTGAAGGAATCATTTGTGACAAATTAACTGTTCTTCTGGAAAATGCCACAAACGTTCAAGTAGTGATGTATTGGAGCTGACATCGTGCGGTATGGCTGTGAGTGTCTGATAAAGTTTAGGTAAATACAAGTTTATAAGTACCTGAAGACAATGGGAGCGGGTACACAGAACTTGATGAGGATCTTCTTGATGTTGTCATGCAGTGTCTTCTCGTCGAGGTACCAGGAGGTTTGATCGTGAGCCGAAGCGCCAGCGGTTGGATCAGGGGCTCCGCAATAACTATTGATGGCGCTCGGTTGAACCGACAACAGTTCGTCCAGGAGACGTTGAGCAGTGGGCAGAAACTGCTGCGGCAACTCGCTGATAAGATACTGCGCGAACTTCTGCAGTTGTTCCCGGTGCAAACGCGACAAGGACTCGCTAACCGGAGCTCTCAGGCACACCTGCGTGGGCTGCATACAAATCGGAGGATGTCGATTATAAATTAACCGGTAGCTCAATTGATATAATAAATTGGCGACGCTGGACGTCCGATGTTCTAGCGAGCAAAACATTTATACTTTCGTGCTGCGAGTGTAATAAATGGCGAGTTTCCGTACCATGTGTATCCTGTGGAGGCAAACGGCGACCACATGGGCACACCAATTAGCCTTCGAGGAGCAGGTGCAATTACAGGACGTAATTTTTCGCCGATCAAACGTCACCGCGACTTTGCACTGCGTCCTAACACCGTTCATCACTCCCTGCGAGATCACGCTGGCGCTCAGGTGAAACCCTGTTGAATGCAAGCAGAAGAGTCGTATTTAATAAATCGTACTCTTATTATATCACCATGGGCATCCCCACGATTCTTGAATTGCACACTAGTTCCTATACTAATAGGAAGAGTTACCTGCCGAGCATGTACTGATCTAACTATGCAATATATCAAGAGTGTACTGAAACTTCTACTACTCTGAAACTCTACTTACAGTCTACTCGTAGCTCGTAAAATTAACGCGACCTTCGTGTTGAACCACCAGACGAGGATCTGCTCGCAGGCCATGCATTCCTCGGTGATGATCTCCAGCAACGGGATGGCGTTACGATCGGTCCTCTTGAACATCTCGCGCACGATCGACAGCAGATTCCACATGCCTTCCGGTTCCCGTCCTCGCAACGGTCGTAACAACGAGGACCATTCCGCGGCCGCAGGAGGCGCAGTGGTGCTCAGGTAATTAACATCGCTGCAATAGAACAAGAATGAAATCTTGCGACACAGTAGGTTAGACATGTAGAACATTCGAAATACTTTCTGGGTTTTGTAATGATAATGAATGCTACACGATAGGAGAAGAAAGGTGTTTGACCTCGACAACTACTTTCAAGGTCAAACTTGTTTTTTGCCGTATCGTATAGTACTCGTCGCTAAGATGAAGAACCTTGAAGGAATCATTTGTGACAAATTAACTGTTCTTCTGGAAAATGCCACAAACGTTCAAGTAGTGATGTATTGGAGCTGACATCGTGCGGTATGGCTGTGAGTGTCTGATAAAGTTTAGGTAAATACAAGTTTATAAGTACCTGAAGACAATGGGAGCGGGTACACAGAACTTGATGAGGATCTTCTTGATGTTGTCATGCAGTGTCTTCTCGTCGAGGTACCAGGAGGTTTGATCGTGAGCCGAAGCGCCAGCGGTTGGATCAGGGGCTCCGCAATAACTATTGATGGCGCTCGGTTGAACCGACAACAGTTCGTCCAGGAGACGTTGAGCAGTGGGCAGAAACTGCTGCGGCAACTCGCTGATAAGATACTGCGCGAACTTCTGCAGTTGTTCCCGGTGCAAACGCGACAAGGACTCGCTAACCGGAGCTCTCAGGCACACCTGCGTGGGCTGCATACAAATCGGAGGATGTCGATTATAAATTAACCGGTAGCTCAATTGATATAATAAATTGGCGACGCTGGACGTCCGATGTTCTAGCGAGCAAAACATTTATACTTTCGTGCTGCGAGTGTAATAAATGGCGAGTTTCCGTACCATGTGTATCCTGTGGAGGCAAACGGCGACCACATGGGCACACCAATTAGCCTTCGAGGAGCAGGTGCAATTACAGGACGTAATTTTTCGCCGATCAAACGTCACCGCGACTTTGCACTGCGTCCTAACACCGTTCATCACTCCCTGCGAGATCACGCTGGCGCTCAGGTGAAACCCTGTTGAATGCAAGCAGAAGAGTCGTATTTAATAAATCGTACTCTTATTATATCACCATGGGCATCCCCACGATTCTTGAATTGCACACTAGTTCCTATACTAATAGGAAGAGTTACCTGCCGAGCATGTACTGATCTAACTATGCAATATATCAAGAGTGTACTGAAACTTCTACTACTCTGAAACTCTACTTACAGTCTACTCGTAGCTCGTAAAATTGGAATTATTTAGAACACGATCACTTCGTATTATAACTCGAACTTCCCACGCGCTATATTGCATAATTAATTCCGTACAGTTTCCTCTCCGTCTGCGAATAGAATTAAAAGTACAACACGTGTTTGAGACCGTAAATAAAGTAATAAAGCTCGCGAGTGTACTGCGGTGGTATTGTTTGCATCGCGAAATGTAAACGCTTTTTCGCGAAAGAGATTGCTGCCGGTCGTCAAGAGAAGAAGCTGAAGCGCACTTTGCCGGGAAACACAGTGATAAAGACGTCATTCGACTGCATTAAGAAACAACGGCCCGGGGCCATGGATAGTTGACAACGGAACACAAAGTGGAAGACGAGATTCTATATAGAGCGTGGCTTAAATTAGCTCGAGGAAATTAACCGTCCAGGTACATCTTGGTCAGACAATGAAATTAAGGATTAACTTCCGACATTTCTCTATTCTCTTCTTACCGAATCTCTCGATTCTTAATATTGAATTACTTTTGTTCGGACGTGTTAAATGACTGTTATGATTTTATCGCTTCTTATGATTTAGGGGAAAAAAGGGGTGTATGGAATTTTCGTGGTGACGCAACAGGTGCGTCATATTAAGTTGGTATAATGTTATACACTTGTTCAATTTTGGTATATTGTGGGAGTGATGTATGTGTATGTTTCTAGATTCGTAGATTTCTGTATTCCTAGATTTATAGATATAGAGATTACTAGGTCGTACATCCCTAGATTCTGACATTTTTATATTCCTGAGTTCCTACATTTTAAAATTACTACATACCGAAATTCTTATATTTTCCAATTCCTGTATTCCGAAATTCCTAGATTCTAGATCTCCAAATCCCTAGATACCCAAATCCCTGGATTCTCAAATCCCTAGGCCCGAAAATTCTCAGATCCCAAAATATCCCTAGATTGAGAAATCCCTAGATCCCCAAGTCCCTAGATCCCCCAATCCCTAGATCCCCAAATCCCTAGATCCCCAAATCCCTAGACCCGAAAATTCTCAGATCCCAAAATATCCCTAGATCCCCAAATCCCTAGATCCCCAAATCCCTAGATCCCCAAATCCCTAGATCCCCAAATCCCTAGATCCCCAAATCCCTAGATCCCCAAATCCCTAGATCCCCAAATCCCTAGATCCCCAAATCCCTAGATCCCCAAATCCCTAGATCCCCAAATCCCTAGATCCCCAAATCCCTAGATCCAAAAATCCCTAAATCCCCAAATCCCTAAAACCCCAAATCCCTAAAACCCCAAATCCCTAGATCCCCAAATCCCTAGATCCCCAAATCCCTAGATCCCCAAATCCCTAGATCCCCAAATCCCTAGATCCCCAAATCCCTAGATCCCCAAATCCCTAGATCCCCAAATCCCTAGATCCCCAAATCCCTAGATCCCCAAATCCCTAGATCCCCAAATCCCTAGATCCCCAAATCCCTAGATCCCCAAATCCCTAGATCCCCAAATCCCTAGATCCCCAAATCCCTAGATCCCCAAATCCCTAGATCCCCAAATCCCTAGATCCCCAAATCCCTAGATCCCCAAATCCCTAGATCCCCAAATCCCTAGATCCCCAAATCCCTAGATCCCCAAATCCCTAGATCCCAAAAACCCTTAGATTCAAAAATCCCTAGATCCCAAAATTCTTATATTCCGAAATTCCACACGATCCAAAATTCCCTAAATCTCCTAGATTCCCTAAAAAAACAAGTAACTTATTTGGTACGATAATCAGGATATATAAATTGCAACATCTTAAGATGGTCTCGCAATAAAGATGAAAGGCGAAAGACGAGAACGTGCATCAAGAACCATCGAGGTTCCATCAAAGAGATGTTTGTTTCAGGCCGGTTTGTTTGCCGATTATTAAACCGACGCGTTTGAGTTGCAGAGATGTTAACGAACGCGGTATCGTGATTGAAGCGTCGAAAAATTGACCAGCTTCTTTATTCGAGGAACGAACGGGGGTATTGTGTAAAGTTGGCGAGCATACGAGCCGTGACGCGGTTCGCCCGAAGGCTTCCCTTTCAGACGGGAAACGCTGGATAGACGTAATTGGAAACCTGACTCCGACGTTTCCCTGTCCAAAATAGTGTCGCAGAATACTCCCTCTCTGTAAACTGATGCTGGAACGAACGTAACACTCCGGATCGATGGGAGGAAACGAGTATGCTAATTCCCGACGAAGCGACTTAACGCGATCAATTAGCGAGACACCCTTTGTTTCTTTTTACGTCCCTTATCTACCGTTCGTTTTTCGGATTTCGTTTTATTCTGATACGATTACCTTTCGTCGTACGAGGAGTTACTGACGAGTAGCTAGAGAGCTGTTAGAAAAATTTGCAACATATCGAGACCTACCTTATAACTTCAAATAAAAAATAAATTTATGAACGATGAAGCATAAATTAATGCATTTGACGAAATTCTATTTCAACGAGTCTTAGTAAAGCTTGTAATTTATACAACAGGATCAACCGGTTTAGTGGGTCTAGTATTAATACTGAATCAAGAAGATTCCAGAAATTATTGCTAACAAGATTAACCCCAGATTTATGCACGTTTAATGTCCGCTTACATTGACTCGAAATGAACTGTGCAAATAACGTGCACTAGTTTAGAAGATTTGTTATGCTGAAGTTTAATATATTTTGACAAGAGCTTCTTATTTTCTGTAATTTAAAATGAGAAGTCTGAGACTCATTAGTTTGATGAGTTCTATAAAGGTGATAGTGACAAGCTGAATGTTAAATTGTGCGAAGTGAAATTGCAGTAGAATAGGTCAGCGGTGGTCAGACATCGACTACTTGTCACAGTGAAACATACAAGACAAATACGACAATAAGATATTTTTAGAAACATATCTACTATGTCACATCATGTATGTTTTATTAAAAGGTTAACTGCGATCGTAATCAGCAAAAGCCAGAAGTTCCCTGAATTCGTAAAAGTTCAAACACGTATTACCATTCTTGAATTGATAACATTATGAAATTGTTATTACTTTTATGCGTTCATTATGAACAAAGGTGAATTATAAAAAAAATTTAAAGACTGACTCACCGATTTGTAGGGGGTCCTTGACGCACCTCGAGCGAAAGAAGTGCTCGCCACGCTGGAACTCGTCCGCGCTGCCATTCGCTAAACACGAGTAGAGCCTGATGTCCTCCTCGTTGTCTGGAAAACTCCAGAACGCTATCCTGAGCTGTAACTGTTCGGGCACGGGCGGGTAAACGTGTTCCACCAGCTCGAACGGGATATGCGAGGCGACGCAACGCGCCGCCAGCTCGCAAAGCGTCAGTACCGTTTGTGCATCTGAAAATTCACAACAAACTCTCGTTAGAATCTCATCAATTGAGACGTTTGGACAATTAACGGTACGGAAATTGAGAAATGCGAGTGTCGGGACATTGGGAAGTAGGGAAATTTGGAGACTGGAAACTTGAGGATTAGAGAGTTTGGGAATTGGGACAATGTGGGAATTGGGACAATTTGGGAATTGGGACAACTTGAGAGGTGGGACAATGTGGGAGTTGGGGCGATTTGGGAATTGGACAATGTGGGAGTTGGGACAATGTGGGAATCGGGACAATGTGGGAATCAGGACAATATGGGAGTTGGGGTCATGTGGGAGTTGGGACAATTTGCGAGTTGGGGCAATGCAGAAGTTGGGACAATTTGGGAGTTGGGACAGTGTGAGAATTTGGACAATATGGGAATCGGGACAATGTGGGAATCGGGACAATGTGGAAATCGGGACAATGTGGGAATCAGGACAATATGGGAGTTGGGGTCATGTGGGAGTTGGGACAATTTGCGAGTTGGGACAATGCAGAAGTTGGAACAATTTGGGAGTTGGGACAATGTGGGAATTGGACAATGTGGGAATTGGGACAATGTGGGAATCGGGACAATATGGGAATCAGGACAATATGGAAGTTGGGGCAATTTGCGAGTTGGGGCAATGCAGAAGTTGGGACAATTTGGGAGTTGGGACAATATGGGAATTGGGACAATATGGGAATCAGGACAATATGAGAATCGGTACATTTATCAATTAAAATAGAAGACCAAAAATTTGGGTAATAGGAAACTTAGGGCATACAAAATTTGTTCCTAGAAAACAAGAATCTTCCACATCCACCAAAAAATGATAAAAACAGATATCCAAGTAACATAACCCTCCTCACCAACTTCCAAAACCACACACATCATCAATTCTATCAATAATAATCCAGCACGTTTTATGAATTCCCAATCTCAAGGGTATTTAATCAATCGCAAAATGAAAAGAATGAAATTCCCCGAACAGGAAAGTATTTGTCAGTGCGAAATTAATGAAAAATAACGGGCGATCGGGAATTCCGTGGACGTGATCTCAGGGAATACACGTGTAAACAGAAAATTCCTATAGTAAGGAGGATTAAAGGGGATCCTTAGGGAGCCCTCTGCAACGTTCTATCGTTTTAATCCCATTTGCCGCATCCGCGCGGGAACACGAGGATGCTCCGCTTCCATCCACCAAGACAAAAGCTTTATCGCGCTGCTGCGCTTCCCAGCGCTCAATATGCCCGGAAACGACGTTACCGAGCTGCGGCCTATTATTAATGGAAATTCCATTTCTATTTGATTAGCGAGCATCCGCAGGCCAGAAACCGAACGGTGTCGTCCTCTCATCCTCGTTCTTCCATTTGTTCCATAAGGAAATCTATGCTTCCATCATAAACCAATTCAATTTCGACCATTTTTCCTTCGTATTAATATTCATAAAGTCCTGCTAAATTGCGCTTATCGTATATGCAATTAAACCTTGTGCTTTAAAGAATATATGTGAGCGTCACTTTCAAAATGGCCGACTATCAAGTACAGCGTATAATGTCATATGGAAATAAAGTCTGATGTTAATTCATGACAGAAAAGTATCGCAAAGATGAATTTATAGTATGTCAATTTTTAGTTCAAACCTTTGTTCAGACGACTGCATAAGCGTTTTATTAATCTACTCAAGACAAAATGGCTGATTGTCAATCTGAACAGACAACATCCCATCTGCAAATTGCACAAAGTCTGACTTTCATTTCATGACATAAAAGTATCACAAAAATGCATTCTTAATGTATCAATTTTTAGTTCAAAGCTTTCTTTAGACGACTACTTAACCGCAATATTAATGTACCAAAGACAAAATGGCTGACTGTCAATCTAAGCAGACAACATCCCATCTGCAATTGCACAAAGTCTGACTTTCATTTCATGACATAAAAGTATCACAAAAATGCATTCTTAATGTATCAATTTTTAGTTCAAAGCTTTCTTTAGACAACTGCATAACCGCAATATTAATGTACCTAAGACAAAATGGCTGACTGTCAATCTGAACAGACAATATCCCATCTGCAATTGCACAAAGTCTGACTTTCATTTCACGACATAAAAGTATCCCAAAAATGCATTCTTAATGTATCAATTTTTAGTTCAAAGCTTCCTTTAGACAACTACATAACCGCAATATTAATGTACTCAAGACAAAATGGCTGACTGTCAATCTGAACAGACAATATCCCATCTGCAATTGCACAAAGTCTGACTTTCATTTCATGACATAAAAGTATCCCAAAAACAGACAATATCCCATCTGCAAATTGCACAAAGTCTGACTTTCATTTCACGAAATAAAAGTATCACAAAAAAGTGCTTGTACTGCTGTAAGATTAATTAAAACCCGAGCCGTGAATATAACTGTTAAATACGAAAAAAGAGGATGTAAAAATTGAAAGCTGTAAAAGCTTGTCAGAGAAGAACATTAATTTTTAGCGGATAATAAAGCCTTTCCTCGACGGTGTTCTTCGAATTCTCTTTTGACCAGCCGGATAATGTCAGGAAGCGGTCGCAAAGCTGCGAAAGCAGAACACGACAAGTTGAAAGCTTTGAAAGCTCGTTCAGCCCGAACGTTGACGGGCTCGTCCGTCGACAACGCGTATTCGCGATCGATCGGCCAAACATTTGCAGGAAAAACAAGGAGGAAGAGTAATGGAAATTTTTACAGAGTGCTGAAACATCGAGCGAAATGGAACGATTCGGACAATTTCCCGGACCAATTTAACGCTTTCACGACCGATATATCGCGTATCTGTCGATGATTTCAAAGATCCTCGACATTGTTGAGGTCGTCGTTGAATTTTTACAGCGCGTTGTTAATTAACCGTGGAAGATACAATTCACGGGCGGTCTCCTTTAAAACTTCTTTAAAGACACGAAAGAAAATCAATAAGAAACTGAGGAGGTTGAAAACTGTTGCGTGTGCCTGTAGAACGCTTGAAAAAAAGAAGTCTTTCTCGCTGGAGGAAAAATTTATCGGCGTCGCTCATTTACTGCAATTCTCAGGAACTTTCGACGACCTTCTAAACCTCGTTCGAGTCGTTTCAAACGTTTTCTCGCTTAATTAGATAAATTACGTTCGCTTTTAGCCTGTGCCAAATGTTTCGAACATTAGGTACAGATATCACGAAAAATATCAAGACTTAGTTGCAACAATTTTACCACACGCTTTATTGCAGCGTGCTGGTATCAGCATGGACGGAATTACTACGCGTAATATCGCCATTTATTGTATTGTGACACGTTGTATCGCCACGCGTTGTGTTCCCTCGCGTTATATCGTCACGCGTGGACTTCGGATGCGTTATATCGCCACGCGTGGACTTCCGATGCGTTATATCGCCACGCGTGGACTTCCGATGCGTTATATTGCCACGCGTAGAGATCCCTCGCGTTATATCGCCACGCGTAGAGTTCCCTCGCGTTATATTGCAACGCGTGGGATTTGCACGCGTTATATCGCCACGCGTAGAGTTCCCTCGCGTTATATTGCCACGCGTAGATTTTCCCATGCGTTATATTACCACGTGTAGAGTTCCCTAGCGTTATATCGCCACGCGTAGATTTTCCCATGCGTTATATTACCACGTGTAGAGTTCCCTCGCGTTATATCGCCATGCGTAGAGTTCTCTTGCGTTATATCGCCATGCGTAGAATTCCCTCGCGTTATATTGCCACGCGTAGATTTTCCTATGCGTTATATTACTACGCGTAGAGATCCCTCGCATTATATCGCCACGCGTAGAATTCCATTGCGTCATATCGCCACGCGTAGAGTTCCCTCGCGTTATATCGCCACGCGTAGACTTTCTACGCATTATATCACCACGCGTAGTGTTCTCTCGCGTTATATCGCTACGCGTAGACTTCCTATGCGTTATATCGCCACGCGTAGTGTTCCCTCGAGGTATATTGCCACGCGTAGAGTTCCCTCGCGTTATATCGCCACGCGTAGAGTTCCCTCGCGTTATATCACCACGCATTATATTGCCACACGTTACATCATCACGCGTTGTATCGCCACGAGTTATATAGCCATTTCAGGAATTCGGAATTCTAAGATTTAAATCGTGTTTAGGGCTCCATGTAATTGGATATCTATTAAACTTTGTGATTTAACGATTATAAGTCCCTGAACAAAAGACTATATTCTCAAACGGAATTTTTAATTGTCCTCCAATTTCGCTAACAGCTCGATTAAATGAAATTTCTCACCGACGGTGGTCGTATAATTGATCGCGAGCAACACCCCCCTTCGTATTTTTATCTTTATTCACAAAATGCATCGAATTCTATTATGACGATTAAACGTTATTTCGGTTGAATTCATTGAAGATATTCCCCTCGGAGCTCGATTGTCCCCTGGCTTCAAACGCAATAATTTAACGGAACAATGAAAAATGGCCCGAGAGAAATATAAGAAGACCTCTTTAGAAGAGTTCTCTCTCCGTCGGATATCAGCAAAATTTATTCGCGATTTTATTAAACTTCCATCCGGTATAATTGCAGTCGTGAGAAAAGTTCGAAAGGATCTCACGTCCGGATGCGGGTATTTTCTACGGTTTGGTCCTCTTCCCGATAAAGGAACAGCTCACGAGTCGAACATATCGAACACCTGGCCCACCTGCATCCACATTGCGGATTAAGATCCTCGCGTCACAGTTTTATAAAACGTTGATCCTGTCGACAGAATCCTCCCGTATCTATTTCATTTCGGCCCATCTCCGACCAAAGAATTCGACGTCGTTGAAAATTCCAAGAGCGTAGGTACGTTAAATGACGCGATCCTGATCCTCGGAGTTGAAATACGTACGCAGCCGGGATTTTTCCAAGTGTTAATTAAACGATATTGAAACGTTCGGCAGGATTATCTTTTCTCGCGATAACGTGACAGCGATTCTCCGAGAGGATTTAGCCGAAGAGATCCTTGAGGATCA